CAAAAAGACACTTTTCTTCCTCGACTTTCAAGGCGATATAAGTTACACTTTATTAAATTCTGATTGGACATTTCCACCACCATATTCAACAGCACATTGTACACTATCATGATACTCCGCCACAGCCTTCTGGACGAGCGCCATCGAGAGATTCTGCCACGCGACGTGCCTGAGTTCAGCGAGGTCGTTGAATTCTACTTAGGTCAGGTGACACACTTGAATTTCGTCTTCTTCAGGTACTCAACGCCCTTCCATTCCAAGTAGGCGAGAGTTTTTCCAACGCCCTTCGATTCCATGTGCTGGCAAATCCTGTAGCAGTACGAAGTTTCCAAGAAGGTACAGGCGATGACATGAAGGCAGGATATTCTCCTCGAGTTGGTCGATGTAACCGTCAGCGTTCACTTCCAGTCCGGGGCCACAAGAACAATATCGGTCTTCTGTTTTATACTGACTTCTCGGAGCTGCTCAATGTTGAAAGTCTTCCAGATCAAGAGTGCGGTCTCCAGGTAGCTGTCCATGGCTGACTTCCATACGAGAAGTTTCGCAGCTGTCTGGAGGTGACGTGAATTCCGAAGGCCTTTACAAGCCAGGCTGCGATTGAGCATGGCGCTTCATACCATAGTTTGTGCACATAAAACGGTGGCCGGCATGCACGAGACACCTGCTTCCACTTTATCGAGATGAATATGCTAGTGGTATCTTCCGCCCTTGGTACTTCGTATAGGGAACGACCTGCTATTCATTTTTCGATCCCAGCCTAATTTGTAATGTCGACATTTCCTTACGAGGGCGGAATGAGCAAGACTCTATCCCTGTAGATGTTCGGTCCTCTATCCTGATCACATGCTCAAGAAGCGAAAATGTCCGGCGCCTAGCAGTATCGAGCTAACTACTCCGATTCTAAGCCCATTTTCCCACTCAGAAGTCTCGGCGTCGAAGTGTCTTGAAAAAAAGGGGCAGAAAAACGTAAAAAGTGCCGAAACATAGAAATGGTAATACAACATATATTTATGAGATTCGACTTCAGTAAATCTAAATAGTAAACTGCATTCCTAAAACCGCAAGACAAAAATGGAAGGTGGCAAAACCAAGTTGCTACAGATGACCATGAACCTGTGGGATATGATGCTCAGGCGCCACATACAGATGCACATATACTTCAAAACAGAAACGCACATAGGGTCTGTAAAGTGACTTGGCCAGTGGCCAGCCGATGCGCGAGTAAGTTAAGACATTGAAATGGCACAAATTGATGACGGAAGCTTCGGTAAGTTTGATAAGCCTGGGAACTATACGTGCGGTATCGGCACGAGAATTTCACCTCCTACCGAGAATTATGATGACCTTTTCTCATGGTATTTCCTTAACGAGCTCGAGAGTGGAATTGTGTTTTGTATGTCAAATTATGTATGGTAGGTAGAGTACGAAATAGCACTAATCAAAGTCAGCAAAACAGAGTTAGCAATGCTACATAGACTTAACACAGTTGCCAGGAAAAAAAGAGCAGAAAAAGTTTCATTGAGAAAAGGTTACCTCGTTTATCGTTTGATTACTATGACTAGCTTCAGTATTGTCTGTGCCTTCTGTGGATCGTGACCGTGAACGTGCTGAAAATAGTTCCGTGAGCTGCATCGTTCTTCGTTTAATCGAATGTTTGAAGGCAAAGTAGGACATAACCATATGGGCGGAGACAGTTAACTATTGCTCCTTCCTTTGGGGTTCGCTCTACCTTTCAAACGACTGATAATTTGTGACTCAAGCGGATCTGCTGCCTTTCACTGTGCTCCCCCTCTAAACCTTTAGAGCGCTACAGTCCCCAACTTAGCTGGATGCAGGATCAGGGCACGTCGTACGTTGGGAATTCCCAGCGGAACGGGGTCGTATTTCGCTTCGAAGGAAGGCGTGGTCGTATTTGTTTGGGAATAATGTTTTCGGCTACTCCATCTTCTCGGTTCTCCCGATTTCAAGAGCTCTTTGTCGCCCCTCCCCCTCCACTCCGATCCGACAGCATTTCCTGAGCTAAAAAAAATGGAAAAAATTCAGGAAAATGGTATGTAGCATATGGCATATCAAAGGGAGGGTTAAAACTCCCCCGCAGAACATGGCTGTTGAGGATAAAAATCCTTTTGACAATTGCACACCGGTCCAGCGATAAGCCGTGTACGTAGTGCGCACATTTGATTTCAAAATCGATTTAATCGCTCAATTCGCCAAGTATGAACGCAGAATTAGCCCTCAGAGGAAAGATACACTTACCCAGACGAAGGTAGAGTCGCCCTAAAACCTTCAGAAAGGCATTGTGTCAAATGGAAACTCCGTAGTCCACACTAAAGAAAGGAGGTACGTAACAGCACAATCGTGAGCCGCCCACGGTAGGAATGAAGCGCCGGCCTCCAGAGAACGAGGCTGCATGAGATCAGACGTGAGTGAAACTGCGCACATTTAAAACACTATTAGGAGTGTAAGACAGTTGAAATCATGCTATGAAAAACAGAGTCTACTCGCTTCAGCGCTCCAGTTTCAAAATCTAATTTACCTTCTGAAGCGCATACGCCAGCTGATCCCTGAACGCGATGTCCCCTCCGAGAAGCACGTATCACGTTGAGAACAGCGCTAACAGTATGACCCGTAATTTTGCGTGTACGACGCCACTTACTTGTATCACTGTTACTTGGAGCGTTTTGACCGTAATGTCGATTTTGGATGTGCTGTGGATCGGCTGGTGGTAACGGTTGACCGAATGTGGACTCTGAATTCAGTACGGTACCATTAATCATCAAACATCATACAGTATCCTTTGACGAAGACAACGAATGAACAAAGCTGACCCACCGAGCGCTTGCGTCTGCATGCCAGGGTTATTCTCGTTGAACGGTATTACATGGAACTGAAATGGATCGGTTAAGAACAAATCAATTTAACCTTATGAGGAAGGCCTTCTCGCGGAAGTAAACTGATGAACCGGGAAAATCAGTTGTATCAATTTTCACGCCTTGGAAACTACCGTTGCATTCCGCTCTTTGCCCCTTGACCGCCTCCATCTGGAGTCTTTCAAACGTTTTCGCCCACCAACACTTGACGCATACAGTCGTGATCCCTGCAAACGATAGGGCGTGTGAAGGGATGTAAATTGCGCAGGCTTTCCCGCCCATTGTTACTGACCGAAGTCGTGACTATTTGTGGGGAAATATCGCCTTGGCAGCGCTCTAGTCCCCGCCCTGTCACACTCCCTGTCTTCCTCCGGGATCATGACTGTAACTACCGTAACTACAGCTTCATTCAGTACGGTATTAATCACATTTCATCAATTTCAATGTCATCGTACTCAATAAACGTATTGGCTGGGAGCATAAACTACCCAGAGATGGAACAGACCTATCCAGGGATACACCGCGCACTTCTACTTGCTCTGAGAACCCTAGTGGCATATTGGATGTGATTTAATGACATGCGGAAGCCGGCCAATTTGCAAGCTAGTGTTCATCCTCCCGTGTCACGTTAACTCAACACTGGATGCACAAAAATCTTGGTCAGCCATACTGGAACTCAACGCGGTGAATGAATTTCGGACCGCGAGGAGGTAAAGCGGCACAACTTGCCAATACACCACTTCGCTACAGATGCTCTGAGGGTGGTTTAGGTCTACGCGAGGCCAGTTCTGCTGAACGCTAGCTACTTATAAACAGTTCCAAACCCATGCAGCGCGACGCCACGAATCGGTGCTGGTTTTGTTTTTTTCGTTATCAACAAGCTTTCAATTCTGGCTCTGCTCACATCGACCAATACCCGTGAGTACATGTTTTACTTTCAATCCGTTCCTATGGATGGTATCTACCACTTTCATTTTCTCAAGGTCTTTAAGCCGCCCTGGATAGCTCACGCGCTTCGGATTGTGCCACGACCAGTGTAGGTAGACCCCTTCTCATGGAAAATTACGTTTTACACATTGTTCCGTTTCTAGTCGGTGTCCCGGCTGTACGGAAATCATGAGTTTTTCTGTGGGGCATCCTCTCTGGTAAAGCTGAATTCATTATTTATGGAAGTACATGTGCATACTCCATACAAAGTACGGAGACACGCCCTCTTTATCCCCGGGATATGTTGAGGATGCGGCAGTGCTGAGGATACGGCGGCGAATGAGTACCTCTACATAGCTGCCAGTCTCGCAGAGATAAGGACTTTGTGCTGTTGAGCAATTCCTTTCTGAGATGCCGATCATTTTAGTTGAATCAGAATTGTATCCAAACCAGTGTTCTATTATTCCTAGACGAATCTACCAATTCACGGCTCCCGGCGGGAATCCC